ATCATTATTGAGAGTCAGTTGAATAATACATGGTGAACCAGTTTCATTTTGAATAGAATCAATAGAAAAAACAGTTCCGACAAAAAATAAAACTTCTATGTGTTTGACCGTGATTTCGTGCCTTGGAAGCACGAATATTGTCGGGGTCAGCATATCAAAGCCTAGAGAGAATTTCCGCCCAAATGGCATCTTTGTTTCTGAATAGTCTTGGTGAAAACACCCTAACTCGAAGAGAATATGTTGCTATCTTACAATGGCCATTTACTTATGAAGTAACATTTTGTCTTCTCGATCAGTCGGAGAAACATAAACATGTTATTGAATCGTTCCGTACCGATCCCGGATCTGATAGTTTTCAACGTCCTCAGTCGGAAGTGAATATTCCAATTGGAAGTTTGAAGTTTTACCCTCTTCCAATCCCATCCGAAAGTGACTACGTACAAAAGGGAAAAATGTTTATTACAATTTTTGTTCATTTTGAAAACTTGTCAAAAGAGAGTCTGTCTTACTTTTTTAGATTAAATTTTGGTTTACCAAGTTATGTTCGGCATCACATAATCCATGAAGAAGCAACGAAACGGGAAGACAAAGAACAAAATCAACCGATGTTACTTCTTTTGCCTCTATATCGACAAGCAAACAAATGCTTTAGTAGCCGAACTACTGAACAATGGGATGGATTATCAACGTGAAGAACTAATATTTTTACCACCAACACTCACTGTTGAACAAGATCGAAATCCTGTTCAACATCGTGCGAATACGTTTTGGTTTGCAGATCAACCACCATTTACTTAAAAGAGCCAATAAAGGGTTTGGATGCGTCTTAAAAGGCGAAAGTATCGTCCAGATTAAGAGCCATTATCCGATAGTTTCGGATTGACAATGTTATGAACTAAGTTTTTATGATGTAACAGAAAGGACAAGGGGCGGTAAGGTCAGTTTTCATCCCACACTTTTTTGGCGAAAATATTACATGATTGTACACAACAAACCTAATTAGCAACTTACAATTCTTATTGCTATTCGATTCGTCAATCAATATACTGATTCATAGTCAAACATATTTAAATACTTTTATTGAACTCTTTTCCGACTTTTTTTCCTCATTTCAATCATTAAATATAACTTCAAATTTCTCCTCATTTCAAATTATTATTTATCATAAGCTATTTTGTGTCTGTCTAACTTACTTCTTAACAATAAATTCTATTTCATTTCGTTTTAGATTAAAATATCTGCAGTAGCAATTATGGTGGCTGATCTCACCTGCTATAAATTGAAATTATCACTGTATATTGTCTTATTGATGATATATAGCAGTGAATAATTTTGATCTTGTGATTTTTTAATCATATAGATTGTTTGCCATCTGACGATGCCATCTTAGCCGACATGAAATTGCAGCAATTATGGCAACTGTTCTCACTCCCACCCTCAATATATGTCTAAGCCATCTGAGGAGTCCCTTGAGCAAGGACAAGACCGGTCGTGGTATGCTCTTTTAAATTCTTAGTCTCAACTCTGCCAATTGATTTTACTATAGCATTTAGTCTTTATTGAATATTTGTTACACTGTAAATTTATCTTTGTTTTGGATTCTTTGTAATTCAACTAGATAAGCCATTTGAGAATCGTCTTTGCCGACTTGAAACTAGTTATAGCAGCTTAGTCTCAAGATTTTCTTTGAAATCATATGAATTTGAAGCCATCTAAATGAGTCCCTTGAGCAAGGATGAAACGAGTCATGGTAGCTGTTCTCACCCTCAAGATTTAAATTGATCTTAAGCCATCTGATGATCGCCTTAGTCGACGTGAAAACGTTTATGGTAGCTGTTCTCACCCCTCGCCCATCCCTTTTGTTTAGAACGAAGAAAGTCAAAAAAGCAAGATTTAATATGCTGAATAAAAGTCAAATGCTTAGAGATCTTTAAGTCTTTTGGAAAAAATATCTAAATGGCTTATTAGTTATCAAATTTATTTATTTATTGAAATAGAAGATATGAATCGGAGAGAAAAAGTATATATTCAGACGAAAAGTTGCCAAAGTTATTTTTTAACTTTCATTTAATATAAATTAATAAGAAAGAAAACTGATGCGTATGTCAATAGCTTTTCTCCACATTATTAATGATTTTAAATAATCTTTAAAAAATAGATAAAGTATTGCAATATTATCGAATAATGTAGATAAACGTTGAGAAAAACGATCCCATGATGATGGTTGACTTATATAGAGAGCTTTCGCCTGTAAAAACTGTTCTAAAGCTTCTTCAAAGTGGCCTTGTGCTATGCAATGTAGACCAATTTTATATAATAAATCAGCACGCTTAATAGATTCCTGTTCATTGTTCAATCGGGATTGACAATCGTCTAATATAGTTGGATCATCCGACGTTGATAATGATATATAGTATTTATCCGGATCAATTTCCTTTAATTGATTTTCATAAATAAAAGCGTCATTAGATTTGCCTTGTGTTTTTAGTATATCGATGATTTCTTGATAAATATATTGTAAAGAAGGAATATATCGGTTATTTGCAATTCTTAATGCTTTTTGGTAATATGATAATGAAGTATAGACATTGTTCATTTTCTTCTCTATATCAGCAATATGTCTGTAAAGTTCACTTGTTAATAAATTTTCTTCATCTGATAATGATAATACAATAGCATAATGCACAGAAGCTTCATCATATTGAGATAAATGATAATTAAGATAGCCAATAATAATATGAATGACTATGAATTCAGGACTCTTTGTAGAGATATTTTTTAGTGAGAGAGCTTGTTCATATAATTGAATAGCTCTGTCATATAATCCTAAATTACTGAAAAGAAAAGCAAAATGAATATGGATCATAAGGGTAGGATTAGTGTTTGATGAAAATTGTTTTTCTGTTAATATATAATAGTATGATTCGATCATATTAAAATCATCTGTTTTCATAATTGAATATTGTCTCTCTTTGATCCTCTCAATAAATGAATCGATGATCTTATTAATAAATACTTGGATGATATTATGAGAATCATCTGTTTTCATAATTGAAAGATACGTTTCTGCGATCTTCTGAGTTTCTGGTGCGAAAATAGAAACTAATTTTCAAAAGTGATCAGATGGATCATTATTGAGAGTCAGTTGAATAATACATGGTGAACCAGTTTCATTTTGAATAGAATCAATAGAAAAAACAGTTCCGACAAAAAATAAAACTTCTTCTTCCGATGGTATTGTACTAAAGTTTGAAATATCAATAAATGGTATAAATGAGTTATCACTTTGATTTGGAATATTAATTTTAAAAATAACTGCATCTTCAGCTGAAAGAATAAATGAACGAGCAGTTTCTTCGTTACGTGATGTTGATAGAATTGTATTTATCGAAATCAAACTTCCAACATTTGACTGTAATTTCTCAAGCTCATTTTTATTCATATTTTGTCCTCGATAAACAGTTAAAAGATTTTTGTCTTGTGATTTTGATAAAAGTTCAAAGTTATTATATAAACGAATAATAAAATATTGAAATTTACGCATAAAGTCAATATTTTTCGTTCGAAATGCTTTATTTAAAATTCGATATAAAAATGAATCTTTTGTATACCATTTTAGTGCATTTTCATCTGAACAAGTTTCACCGAAAGAATTTATGTAATGTAGTTGAAATTCATTATCTTTATAATCTAATTCACATTGTTTTAACATATCAATTTTTAATTGCTCCATATTCACTTTAATAGGATGAACTAAATAATAAATAAAAAGTTGATCCCATAAAAACATTAATGTATTTCCATCTAATTTGGTTAAAGATTGTTCATTTTTTATTTCTTGTAAAGGAGATATACTTATTGGTAAATCATCTCTATACGTTAATAAGATATCTTTATGTAATCGATTGATTAATGTATCGATATTTTCAAATATTCCAACTATTTTTGGATTGTTTGTTGAATTATATTCGAGACTTTGATATTTTTCTTTTAAAATATAAATTGATTGAATTTGACATAAATTTTCAAAATCTGTTTCAGGTATAAAATCTTTTAATATAAGGAGGAATTTACGTTTGCTTTCAACTTTCTTTATATGATTTTCACAATTTTTACATGAATCATGTTTCTCTAGATGCTCATCAAAATTTTCTAATTCATTTGGTGCATTATCGGAACCAATCCACACAATTCTAAAATTATCATGATTTTGGATTTCGTTTAATTTTGTTGCTGATAAATGAAATCTACTCATCTTGATTTATTGGATTTTTTTTCTTTTAAATAAATTTTTAAGAATTAAAATATTTTTATATGCAATCCAAAATTATCATTTGGAGTGAGAATGTTTTGAAAAAAGGTTAAAATAACAAGTAATTTTATTATTAGTTACACATTCCTCGTCGTGGTGAATGATAACAAAATTTTTAAAGTAACATATGACCAGCAACAAAAGAATCGGCATCATGTTATCAATCATGAGGCTTGTGTTTGTTTATTCATCTGTCGAATTAGTGAAAAGAGATAGAAAAAAATAATAGTCACTGGAAACTGCAGCTCTCTAACTCTTGCCGTTCTTGAGTTATTGTAAAATACTCGCGGTCATTTTACTATTGGAGAGACAATAGTAAAGTTTGTCCTTGACGTTAATCATCAAAAAAATGTTTACATCCAGTGACGGTTAATACAAGATGAGCATGTTCGAAGAAGACCTATGTCTAAAGAACAACTGTCTGAAGAAGTTTCTTACAAAATCTCAAAAAAATGGCTGCAAATTTGGATTGAAATAACGTATGAATGCAAGCTTTATCGTATATAGACTGATATAAGATACTCGAAGTGAATATATCGATATGTATTATCAATGACCGTTGTAAGTATAGTACTACATTTTTTGAGATATCTGAGAGCTATCAGGATATTAAACATAATAATGCACCGAATAATTTTAAAAAAGGAAAATTTAACCAAAAAAAATAAACTTTTACAAAGTGGATACTTTGATAAGTCTCTCTTAAGTATAAACTCAACTTTTTTCTTTGTCTTTGAAAAGTAGAAGTCTCTCAGAGGACCAATAACAGCGGTAAACAACACTACTTTGGCGACAGACTACTTACTATGAAACGGATACGTAAATATATCAAATCGGCTTTTACTTTATCGGTGATCGATAGACCGATACATATGTGAAATGATATAAGTGGGTTTTTTCCAACTTGCGACAAAGTTTGGACCATATTTGTCTGTCATTTCATTCTTCTTTATTAACTGCACGAACATGTGATGAAGAGAACTCTAAGAATTTCTCTCCCGAGGAGGAGTGATAAAAACACTTTCGATAATATATTCATCACTAGATCTACTTATTTTATAATTCATATATTTACCCAAAGGAAAAAAATAACAACATACAGTTTAAGTATGTATGCGCAGGTAATTGTTATCTTGAGAGGCCTTATCAGCGATTGGCTTTAATGCATTGTTTGCTTTCATTTACACCACGGACGTCATCCCTGATCATACGATCCAGATACATTTATATCGTATCGTCATTCAGCATTTGAATTGAGAGAAAGAGATTAGAAGGGCTTTCTGTTATATCAGGACACTTTCGTGGCTAGTGACAGTACAGAACTGCATCATCATTGCACTAGGAACCTGCTGTTAAGTTTCTCTAATATGAATTTGATACTTGTCTGTGACACTAGCTACCCAACCGGCCCTCCAATGGGTATTTCGACACGTCGATCTGAGCTTCCGATGCCCATCGGAGGCTCAGATCGAGTGTTTGGAGTGTT